GGGGGGGCGGATTCCACTACCTTTTCATTCCACTTTCCATGAACTGTCTGCAGCACCTTGGTAGGTGTGCACCCCGACCCACATCGCAAAGAGTACCAAACTGCAATCCCTGCTTCCTCCTTGTTGACTTGTCTGAACAAACCAGGGGACTCTGCCCTTCCCTTTGCCGTCTCCTTCCACTCCGTTGGCTGGGTGCTCTCTAGTGTCAAGAGTCTCCCACTCGTGGGTGCTGGTGGGCGGTTCCACATCATCTGTGGTTCCAAATAAGGTTGCAATGAAAAGCTTGGAGCTGTGTGTTTCTGTATTTTCACAAACTGCAAGTGCATGACTCATAGCCCACGGCAGTGAGCAGCCTCTGTTTTCCTATTACTGAATTTTACTTAGATAGATCTTTTTGTCTTTTTATACCAGTGGGCCTTTGGGATAGAGACCTAGAGGTAGAAGGTTGGGTTAAAGAACGCATTCAACACAAACTGACAGCCGTTCTGGCTCACAGTGACCCCAGAGGACAGAGTAGAACTGCCCAGGGGCTTCTGAGACTGGAAATCGTGACAAGAGTAGAAAGCTCCCTCTTTGGTATGTGCAATTTATAATCCAGAGAGGTTAAAGCACCCATCCACACGGAATCTCATCAATCTTCACCGGAGGAGTAAGATACAGAAGCCCCGCCCTAAGCCACCACCCAAAGCCTGAGGTCCGGGCAGCTCCCACTTGCTTAATTTAGAGGCAGGCTTGGATTGGATCTGGCTGAAGAAACGCCTAGACCTCCGGGGGAAATTCCAGGTTCTTTGACTGGAATAATTCTCATCATTAATGAGGAATATTCATCTCAGGCTAAACAGAAACCCTAGACGTTCTGTTTGGGGCGGGGGGCGGGGCAGTTGAGTTTGGGCCTCTTTGATGGAGAAGCCACTTAAAAATGAATTCTTCCTTTAGCTCTTCAACTTGGCTGCCAAACTGTTTAACAAGCAAATGCTCAGCCTGAGGGCATTTGTTAAAGACCCCGGTGGTCCTTCCTTTACCCATGGAAAGGACATGGATCTAGTTAGGATACCGTCTGTTACTCTATCAACCCCATGTAAGCACCGCTACAGGTTGATTCCAGCCCATGGGTACCTTCGGTTTATCCTGAATTAGTTGCTAACTTTTATCGTCAGAGCCTCTTACAGGAATACCAGACTTGCAACTTCTCTGTTAAACATGGTTGCTCTGGTCTCTTGGCTGGCTTTTCCTGGCCACACCTGCTGGTTGGAGCTGAAGAGAGGCTGCCCCCAGGTGGCAGGACACGCATCTCATTATGCCCATACAGCCCGACCAGTCTTGGCCCTTGCCTCCTGCTGGCTCTCAAGCTGGTGAACTCTGCCCTGGGCTGAGCTGGAGGCAGTGGTGATGGGGCATCACCACGTACGTAGCAGGATTCTCACCATCCATGTGAGAGACCTGGGTTCCATTCCCAGGCAGCGCATCTCATGAGCAGTCGAGGCCCACGGTCCACGGAAGCTTTTGTGTCATGATGCTGCCCAGACTTTTGTGGAACTTCCAGGCTCGGGCAGACCAAAAAGCTAGGCCTGGAGGTCTACTTCCAAAAGTCGACTGATGAAAAGCCTACGGGCCCTCATGGTCTCATCCACAGCCCATCGTGGGGAGGAGCCAGGAGCCAGCGCTTCATTCGCCAGCGCAGACAGACTCAACAAGACCCAACACACTGCTGGCCGGTCCATTCCAACCAGCAGAGACCCCACAGCACGGAGTCGAGGTGCTCCTTAGGATCCCCAAGGCTGTATCTTTGCGGAAACGTACGGCCTCATCTTTCTCTCACAGAGCCGCTAGTGGGGTCCAACCACCAACCTTTTGGTTCACAGCTGAATGCCGCCAGGGCTCGCTAGCCACAGAGAGCCCAACGTGGCACCCTCTGATGTCAAAGGCTGCCTGTCCTCTTTTGTTTTGGACTGCCCAGCCTCCATCCCAGTGCCCAGCACACACTGCTGAATGAGTAAAATGGTGTGTCGTCACCAGCGTTAAAATGGCACAGTTAGAACATTGTCTTAGACTGGGCCCTTGAAGCAGATCGGCAACCCAGGTGTCCTGGACATGGGTTATCCCACCCCTAAATCCACTCGTCTGTCTATCGGGAGGCCGCCCCGCGACCTCTTCCCTCTGCAACCTGGCCTTTCCTCTGCATGAAGATTGTAAGGCAGCCAGATCCCAAGACGTCAGCCAGTCACGACTGTCAGCCACGGCACCGAACACTTAGTTTTCGATCACTTTTTTAGGGAGCGGGGGACTTGTTTTCATCCCCAATCTTGGTTTTTGTGTTTGCTTTTTTTTTAAAGATCGTTTTATTGGGGCTCTTGCAGCTCTGATCAAATCCATACATCAGTTGTGTCCAGCATCTTTGTACAGACATTGCCATCCTCAGTTTCTAAACGTTTGCTTTCTAGTTGAGCCCTTGGCATCCCCATTCTAGACTAGCCCGTGACTCTCCTTGAGTCTTTATTTCCCGATAAGCCTGAGGGAAGAAAGGACCATTGAAATCCCCGAATACTTGTCATTTTGAGCCCTCTGGCATGCGCTTTTTTTGTTTTGTTTTTATGACTTACATTTCTCATCCAGTCTCATTGGAAGCCCTCGAGGGGAAGGCTGGGCCAGGTGAGAGTATATATTGATAAGGACAGCCTCAGAGAGTGTCCCTCCACCGGATCGCCCTTTCCTGAGCCCTCTGCCCTGGAAGGAAACATGAACTGGTTTGGGATCTTCGGACTGCTGGCCCTCTCGGAGGCACTGGTCACGTAAGGCGGACACTGCACTCTCTCCCTGGGCTCTTTCTCACCGGTCCAGGAACCGAGAAGGAACCTTGCTTCTCTCTTCCTTCCTTCTTTCTTCTTCTCGTCTCGTCTTCTTTCTTGTATTTCTTTGAAGCTAGTGCCAATTTTACTCTTTCTCCTTTTATCGCCACGCAGGCCAGTCTGTAGAGCAGCTGGATTTTCAAGCAGATTTTTTTTCCCATCTGCAGGATATCGAGGGCAGTGGCCCTTCTCGCTCTCCTTTTAAATTTATTCGTGTTATTATGATTATTCCTTGGTCTTGAAGGACCGGGCTTTCTACTCCCGTTCGCAGTCACAGACACAGAGCCACACCAGGAAAGTTCTACCCTGCCCTATAGGGTCGCTATGAGTCAGCCTCCACTCCGTGGCAGTGAGTTTTTTATTCTTTTTGATGTACAGTGAACCCTCATTTATCGCGGTTAATCGGTTCTAGACCCTACCGTGATAAATGAAATTCCGCGAAGTAGGATTCCTTATTTGTAAATCAAATATTTTCATAGTTAGAGCATAGAGGACATGAAAAAACACCCTTTAGTCACCATTACACTCGTCTTACTCAATTTATTAAACGAAAAAGGGAAAATACAGTAAAACATTTTGGACGTTACAATTATCATTTATTATTTATTCTATTATTTATGGCATCAAGCGTGTACAGTATGAGCCAATCAGTGACAGTAATGACAGAGCATGCGCTGTTACGCAAAAACCGCAATAGAGTGAAGCCGCGGAAGTCGAAGCGCGAAGTGGCGAGGGTTCACTGTATGGGATATAACATACACATCGAAAAACTCGGCTGTGGTGGCACAGCCTAGCGCATCAGAATAGTGACAGTATCCCAGAAACCCCTCGAATATAGATATTTCCTCTCCCCCCACCCCACCTTCCCTCCTTCCCTCCCTGCCCTGCCCATCTCCATTGCATCATCCTCTGTCCCAGCCCTCCTGCCTCTGAAGCTTTATCCTGCGCCAAATGCTGCCTTTGTACTTGGTTCTTGAGCGTCTCTTTAAACGCCTCCATCGATCGATGCGTCGCCAGGTGCACTGTGGGGCCCAGGGGTCTTAGTGCAGGTGACGGAGGCATAGCCCCGAGGCCCCAGTCACCATCACGGGCTACGTGGACGACGCTCCCTGGAGCTGTTCAGTGCACACCCCGAGCAGCTGTTGGCCTGGTGCTTGCCCCACGCCCAGGGCTTCTCTTCTTCCTCGCCGTTTCTGCATGCATGTGTCTCTGGGCCTCTCTCTGGGGATCCCTGGGCAGCACACTACTACTGACCCCAAAGCTGTCCATTCGAAACCACCCAGAGGCACCGCAGAAGAAAGGCGGCCTCGGGACCTGCTTCCAAAAGATCACAGCCTAGAAAATGCTGCGCCCCCGGGGTCGCTGCACATTGCCATCCACTCGAGGGCAGGGCCTTGGACTTTGTCCCACGTGTGCAGGACTCCCTGTGCCGCTTTCTCTGCTGGCTCTTCCTCCCACCCCCAGCCTCTTCATTCCCCGACTCTGCACCCATTTCTACTCTACCCTGACCCCTAACCCCCAGCCCCCAAGGGTTCTCACCTCCTGGCTCCCTCTCACCCTGTCTTCTCAATGAACTAGGAGAGAGACTCGGAGATTCTACTTCTAGGCGTCAGGTTGCCACTCCCAGGCCCTGTGACCACAGAGTGTCCAGCTTGCTGTCCTCTGATCCGTCTGCCGCCAGAAGAGGATCCAGTGGCCCTGTGTCCATCCTTGGGGCTGTGATGAGGGACAGTCACCGTAGCAGCGGCTGCCACTACTGAGACCCACGGGCAGGAGTGAGGCACCCTTCCTCTGATTTGATAGCCAAAGCATTGCCAGTGAGGGCGGTATTGTGAGCCTCGCCTGTAAACAGACACACGGGGACCCTGAGGCTCAGAAACGCCACGTGATCTGCCCAGGAAGGGTCCGCAGGGCTCCGTTGCTGTGGCCTATCCTCACAATGGGAAGAAAGCCAGACAAGGAAACCCACGGTCATCGGGCTGATTCCCACGCATAGCGACCCTACAGGGCAGGGCAGGACTGCCCCTGTGGGTACCCAAGACTACAACCCTTTACAAGAGCTATTCGCCTCCCCCTTCTCCATTGGAGTGGTTGGTGGGTTTGAACCTCCGACCTAGGGGTTCGCAGCCCAACACCTGAATCCACCAGGCCACTAGATCTCCCCCTACCATGAGAGCGGGGGAATTCCGGTGTAGGACGTGGCCGCTAGCTTGTAAGGCGAGGGTGTCTGAGGGCTGCCTCCTTCATGTTTCCTGTTCAAGGATCCCTCTGCGGAAGATCAAGCCCCTGAGAGAAAGCCTGAGGGAAATTAACCAGCTGAATAACTTCCTGGACACGTATCGGCACAGCACCATCTCCAAGTATTTTCTCAGCCAGGAGAGCAAGGGCGTTCCCAAAAAGGCACTCCAGAACTACCTGGATGTGAGTATCCGTCGTACAGAGGTGGCTAGGTGGTGCAGTGGTGACACATTGGGCTGCCAACTGGGAGGTCAGCAGTTCAGAACCACCAGCCGCTCCTTGGGAGAAAGATGAGGCTTTCTGCTCCGGTAAAGAATGATAGTCTCGGAAACTCACAGGGGAAGTTCTACCCTGTCCTGCAGGGTCGCTGTGAGTCAGACCGACTGGGTGGCAGTGAGGTTGGTTTGGTTTCTTTAGAAGGTGATCTGGGTGGGCTGCCTGGAGGAGGAGGGCTTGAGGCGTTTGCAGGGGAGACTAGAGAGTTTTTCAAATGAAGGCACTGTGGGTGGGGCTATTGGAAAGTGAGGTCAGGATTCGGGAAGGGGCACCATAAAGCAGGCAGCCACCCTGGGACTCGGGGGTGACCAGCCATGCCCTGACTGCCCTCCCCACCTGGACAGATGGCGTACATCGGCACCATTAGCATCGGGACGCCCCCTCAGGAGTTTGAAGTCATCTTCGATACGGGCTCCACTGACCTGTGGGTGCCCTCCATCTACTGCCACAGCTCTGCCTGCAGTGAGTGCCTGCTCTCAGACCCCCACCACCCCTGCCCCTGCGTGCTCTCCACCCCACCGCGCTCCCCGGCAGCCCCCACTGAAGCCAACCCTTGTGTCCTCAGAAAGCCACAACGTCTTCCACCCTCTGAGGTCCTCCACCTTCCAGTTCTTGGGCCAGCCCATCGACATCACCTACGGCACCGGGGCCATGAAGGGGTTTCTGGGCAGAGACACGGTGAAGGTAACGTGGGAGTCAGAGGCTGCGGCCAAGCCTGCTGCGGCTGGCAGGCAGGCCTGGGCTCGGCTTGGAGGGGCCATTGTTCCCAGCATCCCCGAAAAGCTGGCCAGCAGGCCTGGGGGGCGGAGGGAAGTGCCGCTGCTGACCTGGAATGTGGGACCACCAGCCAGGCTGGCCCTCCTGGAGGGTCCAGAGGGTTAGCAGCTCTGTTACTATGAGGCTGATTTTTGCCCAGGAGCAACAAAAAAAAACACCTGCCTGGTGTGTTTGTGTGTGCTGAAAATAGCCACTCCAAGATGCTTGCCAACACAGCCGCCGCGTTAACACCTCGGGGACATCGACGGCGTGTCTCACGTCATACCACCCTCTTCACAATCCTTTCCCAACCTCGCCTCCCACCACTGACAGACGTAGACTCTGAGCTCCCCTAACAAACACTCGTTCTTTCTTCCTCCCTCCCGCCTCTGCTGAACATTGACAACCGGCAGTTTCTATCTCCCGGCATGTTTCCTGTGACTGCATAGTGTCTGTCCTTTTCGGAATGACCGATCTGGCATCACGTGAGGTTGTCAAGGTTCCTCGGGGCCATGACATGCGTCAGGACTTTGTGCCCCCTTTTCACGGCTGCATAATATTCCATTGGATGCACAGGCTACTTTGTCCATCGTCTGCCGGTGGCCTTCTGGGTTGTGAAAGGTGCTGCAGTGAACCTTGGGGAGCAGGTTTCTTTGTGTCCCTACCTTGGCTCCTCCTGGGTAGGGCATTAGGACTGGGGTTGTTGGTAATTCTAAGTCTGTTGAACTTTTTGAAAACAGACAAACCGGTTCCCTCTCATAGTGACCCTAGAGGACAGAGTAGAACTGCCCCACAGAGCTCCCCAGGTGATCATCTTTAAGGCAGCAAACGACCACATCTTTCTCTCATGGAGCCGCTGGTGGGTCCCAACAGCTGAGTGCTTAACCCCTGCACCACCATGGCTCCTTGCTGAAAGGGGAAATAGACAAAAGGACCTCCCCTTCGCGCCACGACCCGAATTCAGACTTCCAGCTTCCTGGACTGTGAGAAAATAAATGTCTGTTTGTAAAAGCCACCCCCTTGTGGCATGACACACATCCATACACTCACTCGCTAACACGCAGTGATATACATAGCAGGAAGGGACTGCTCTGTCCCCCACCCCCTGTTGGAGTTGTCATCAGATGGTAGAGATGCCCAGGCAATAGCGATCCTGCCGTCTGACCGCTAGCTTGTCCAGTAGGAGCCATTTGGCCACCTGGGGAAGGTGTCCAGCCCCGCGTCCATGCTGTGCTTGTCTGAGAGGCAGCCTGTGACAGAGCCAGTCCTCGCTGCCGCTCTGCAGGGCAAGGAACGTCTCCCCACCCACTTCTGCCCCAGCCCACCCAGCCCTCATTCAGGGGCAAACTCCTCTCTCTGGCCCAGGTCGCGGGGCTGGTGGATGAGAACCAGGACTTTGGCCTGAGCGTGCTGGAGCCCACGCCCTTCATGGACAAGATGCCCTTCGATGGCATTCTGGGACTGGCCTTCCCCACCTTGGCCACCAATGGAAGCACCCCTTTCTTTGATAACCTACTGAAGCAGGGAGTCATTTCTCAAGGCGTCTTTGCCTTCTACTTGACCGGGTAAGTGTGAGCCAAAAATCAAATAAACAAGAGCACTTTCCATGGACTCAGCCCCGGGTCCAACGGGGTGCCCATGGGTGTTTCCAGAGGGGCGGAGTTGTCAGAGGTAGATCGCCAGGCCGCTCTTGGGAGGTGCCTCTGGGCAGGCGCCAGCCTCACCTGAAGCTGCTGAATATGCAAACCGCTTTCATCAGCCAGGGGCTCCTCAGTCTGG